CCCCCTGGTGGGCTGAGCTGGCCCCCCATACACACATAAATAAATAAAATTTAAAAAAAAAAAAGGAAACAAGCTTACCCAAACTCTGAACAATATAGTTGATCAAACTCTGGAGTTTGAAGAAAAGAATAACTCTAAGCCCTTTAAGCATACAGAAACATCCCGGGTTCGATCCCGGTACTGCATGCTGTGCCAGCCTGGAACCCAGGTGTGCCATGCCAGCTGCCGAAACCAGGCACGGTGACACACGCCTGTAATCCCAGGACTGGGGAGGCTGAGACAGGAGGATCACTAGAGTCTGAGCTGCGTAGTGAGATTCTGTACTAAATAAATGAAAAGATTTTAAAAAATAAAGTACAAAGAAAACCAGAGAAGTAAACACAAGAAATGTCTCTAGGAATGAGGAAGATCTGTGACTTACACTTATAACCGCAGTATGCATAAACCCTGTAAGAGTCCTACGATGCTGCGCTACCAATCTTGGAAACGTGAGGTCTCTACCTCGTTCAGTTGGCAGCTTCCAAGGGGAAGTCAAACTGCAAAGGTTCAATGTTTCCTGTTGTGGAGACTAAACAAAAATTTATTAAAATATGAAAAATTGCTGATTTCTTCTCTGGGTAGTAAAACTGGATGGGAAACTACCAAAAATAGTATAGATGATGTCACTCATGGACAATGCGGCTATGTAAATGAGGTTGACTGTTCATGAGTGATACCATTTCCAAACAATTCAGTTCAAAAACAAAAGCTTTTGGAAAAATGTTGCTTCCATTCTCAGACCATGTTTGGTGACAGACACAAACAGTTACCTTCCGTACACAAACACAAACACAGCTGTCTTTGCCAAAATCATAAAACAATTTAAATTTGTAAACCGAGGTACCACTGCAGCTCTGGAACATTACTGTTTGGTAAAAAAAAAAAAAAAAAAACCTCAAGGTTTTCATAATATTGACCGTATGATAAAGGTGGTAGGAAAGCATGACATTTATATTTATGCAAAATAATACACTGAAAACCTGGAGAGTTGCATGCGAAGTTGGGGCTTTTGCTTTACACAGTGAGCAGCAGTGTGTAAATGCCGGAGAGTCAGAGCTGGGTTAGGGTAGAGTTTCAGTTCCGAGTTTCATCTTTACTTACTTTTTGGTACTGTTTGAAGACAATGAGTGAGACTGCAGAACCATTCCGAAACACGTTGCTGCCCCTCGGCCTCCCGTGGAAGCTCAGGCGCTCGGACAGCTAGCCAATGGCCCTCTGCCGGGTGCCTTCTTAGTGGTGCTCTGAGAACAAGGCCCCTGCAGCCCTCAGTCCATCCAGTAAAGGTCTGTCAAAGAGTAAAGCTCGGCAACCAGGCGTGTGAGATTAGCTCCCGGCAGTGGACCGCTACTGTTTAGCTGGGGCGGGGGGGATTCAGCCAACAGCTACCCAAAAGAGCTTTTGATCATAGTAGAAGGGTTTATTAACTGCGATAAGAACACACGAGAAATAAACATTTCACTTCTCTTGGTCATGATCTACAATTTTCTGTATTATGTGCATATTATAAGAATAAAATAGCCTTTGATATTTATTTTATTTACTTATTTAGCTGAACCAGGGGATTGAACTCAGGCCCTTGCACTTGCCAGGCAAGTGCTTATTCTGCTGAGCCATCTCCCTGGCCCCTTAGCCTTTGAAACATTGGAGAAAAATCTATCTATGTATATTCATGAATACATGTATGTATATATTGGCTGTATATAGTACAAACAGAAGATCAAAGACTTTGTATAATTGGTATGCTACGTACAACCTCTGATATCCTCATTATTTATAATGACATTAGATTCCTCAGCTACCAAATTGAAAGAAATATATTGATTTTTCCCTTACAAATTGTTGTATTAAATCCTGTCCACTGTGGAGGACCACATGGGCAGCTCTCCTGCAAGGAGGAGTGGTTGTCTCCGTGTTGGCCTGAGCCAGCCGTATGTCCGTGTGTTGATATGCACAAAGCTGGCTAGGACTTTTCCTTATCCCTGCCATTGGCTTCAAATAACAAAATTGGTCCAACTAAGGTCCTGGTGGCAGTCACTGAAGATGGCCAGGGGACATCCCCACCTTGCTCCTGTGTGTGAGCCAGGTCAAGACAGGATGAAACGCCAGCGCTTCCCAGTGCTCAGGATAGAGCCTGTGGTCTCCTGGAGCTTGAAAGATTTCGCTTCGGAGCTGAAGCGCTGACCCTAAAACCCTAGAAGCCATCTCAATTGCGTAACACAGATGGCTCTTTCTGCACATCCTTCTGTCTTCACATTGCAGACATGAATGCAGGCCACCCAGCCCAGCTGGCAGCACTCACCTACTTCCTACTTCCTGCTTCCTGCCCATCTCATAGTCACTCATCCTCAAGCTACTCCTTTCTTCATGAATGAATAAAACCCAGGCTTGGCCTTGGGCCAAAGCCTCTGCCCCAGGCAGCCACCCTCATGGCTGGACCTAGGACCCTTGGGCTCCCCAAAGCTACAAATATGTCTTACGCTTCATATTTTCACTGTGGGTTGCACTGCATGCGATAGATTGGAAATAACTTGACGAGATTCAAATAATTTTATCCATGGGATTATAAATACAAAATTCTCAGATTGAAACAAAGATGAAGAAGTGTTCTTTATACTCCATAAGCACAGTAAAAATAATAAAATATAAAATAAAATAAGATTGATGAATATGTTCATACTTTGTTCTGAAATATCTTAACATACAAAGTACATATTTACTCACCTTGTAGTATGGTATCATGTATCCGCAACTCTAGGAAAGTGACTTTTCTCTTCTATTTTTACAGAAATTGAGAAAGAAAGCTGTGGCGATCCTGGTACACCTTTATATGGAATTAGAGAAGGCGATGGGTTTTCCAATCGTGATGTTTTAAGGTTTGAATGCCAGTTTGGGTTTGAATTAATTGGAGAGAAATCCATTGTTTGTCAAGAGAATAACCAGTGGTCTGCAAACATACCCATCTGCATCTGTGAGTACCAAATGCTTCACTTCTAGAGAGCATATGTTACCTTGTCCTTGCATATAATTGCTTTTGTAATTAATTGCAAAGAGTTGGAACTGTGTAATTATTTTTTTGGGGGTAGTACTTGGTGATACCATCTTCAACAAGTGTGCTTATGCCAAATTATAAGTTTCATTACAGATTTAAATAAAGTTAACATAGTTCACTTGCAGAAAACATAGTTCAATTGCAAAATACATACATTACGAGTTTTCTTAGTGCACTTAAATTGGTGGCATTGTATCCTTCACATGTAGCATGCTTCTTAGGGAAATTATATATCTGAACTAATCCAAATCCTCATTTACTTTAAAAAGAGAGTGTGTGTAGAGTAACAATCAAACACATTTAAAATATATAAAACTTCTATTTTATGTATAATGCATTAGCTTATTTTGTGTATGGATGCTCACAATAATGTATACAGTAGCATTTGTTTATATTACACAGAATAAAATTCATTAATGTTCATGATTTATATATAATGTGCTTGGATTAAAAGAAAGTATCTGTTCAGATATTCTATTTAACTACAACAAGCATGTAAGTGTTATTAACTGTTGATAGACTGAGAGGCTCAATTAAATACTGTTCTCATTACAATGAAGTGGATATATAAATTATACATAAATATATTAATAAGTTATATATATATTAATATATATTATATATATTCTGGCAGAATTTTCCCTAATTACACTATTTATTTTTTTAATCAGAAACTGCAGGAGAATGAGAGTCACAGACTCCCTTACTAGAATATTCTTAGGTTAAGGCTAGCTCTTATGGCTAAGCAAGATCACTTTGCAAAGATTTTTGAGAGAAGGAAATTAATTATAGTCATATCATCTGAAGTATATTAATACTTCAAGAGACTGAGTATCTTTAGTTGTAGGTGTTTTATGACATTAGTTTTATGTTGAAAAACAAATTCATTAATAGAATATATCAAACAAAAATGAAAAATATTTTGAAAGCATGTTAGCAGATAGTAAATATATTATTGAAAATATTGCTGATTAAAACAAATTTTTTAAATTTCTTGATTATCTATAGGACATCTATTATTATTTAAAAATTATTAAACCCAGTATTCTAATATATGATGAAAATGTAACAATTAATGTTGCTTTTATGTATAACCAATAACTACTTTGAAAAAAAGTAATTAGTACTAGACTGAAGCACTGTTGCCCTTAGCTACATCACCAGACCTCTATTTTATTTTTATTCTGAGATATAGTCTAGCTAAGTTGCTAAATTCCCAGACTCTAATTTGCAATCCCCCTGCCTCAGTTTCCCAACCTGCTGGGATTACAGGGATACCAGCGCCATGCCCGTCTTTCACAAAGAAGTATTTGAAAGGATTTACTCAAGAGTAGATCATTAAATTCATACAGATGGTCCTTACTTGAAGCCAAATGACTAAGAAGATTATAAAACTTAACACAAAAAATGTTATGAAAATAAAATGGAAGCCATCTTTCTGAATGAGAATATGCAAAATGTGAATTATATACAAATCATGTAATTTTAATCAAAATTCTAGTGTAGCTTTTTCTGGTGCGAACTTGGTCTAATATATTGGTATGCAGTTAAGTGCCACAAAATATTAAAAAAATAGATGGTAGAATTTTGAGAGCAAAACCCTCATGTGGAATAGGCCCTAATATTAAGCCATACATGGAGTGTGGTAGTAAAATTGGGCACAAGGAAGTTACATCAAAACTGCACTGCTATGACTATGAGTACAAAGTATGATATAAAGATTTAGCTGTTGAACTGATAAGGGTGACTGGGGTGCTGACTTAGCCGGGGTGACGCCCACGTGGGCGTCACTGAAATCAGCAAAAGGCAAGCTGAAGCCTCTGCCAACAGTAGCCGCTGCCTGCCTTGTGAGTAGTGCAGTTGTGGAGCAGAAGCCTGCACTTCCACTTGCCAGACTGCTCATCTGCTGCAAGGCAGCCAAAGCTGCAGAAAGGATCCTGTGCATTGGAACAGCTGAAATGTTTAGTATGTGCTGCTTCACAGAAAGCTTTTGCAGGGCCAGCGAGATAGCTCAGGGAACTAAAGCGCCAGCTTAGGCAAGCTCAGGGACTGTGGTTCCCTGAGCACCACCCCATGCTGGCCCTGCCCCCAGGGTGGGCTGAGCTGGCCAGAGTCTGGGCACAAGGGTGCACATGCGTAATCTCAGCGCTGGGGAAGCTGAAAGCAGGAGGATCACCATGAGTCTGAGCTGCACAGTGAGACCCCGTAAAAACCAAATACATAGGAGGAGGAGGAAGAGGAGGAAGAGGAGGAGGAGGAGGAGGAGGAG